CGCACTAGCCAACGAGCTATACAGGACAGCTTTACTACTCATCACCACGGGCTTGCAGTACAACGTTTCAGCCGTACTCGAGCACCCCGCCCCAGCCACCTGGCGCCCTCAAGCGCCTAGCAGCTGGCAGCGAGCAGAGACTCTCTGGCTCCTGGAGCAGACGGGCGTCGAACTTCACTACATAGACCAGTGCCAGTTCGGGCAGGATGCGAGAAAACCAACATGTCTGATGGCGGCACACCTCGGTGAACTCGCACAGGAGCTAAGGGCGGTACCTGGTGGACAGCTATGCCGACATACGGGACATGCCAGAGCTTACGGACGAGACGGCCAAGGCGGCTGGAGGACCGCCCCCCTCAAAGAGTATCCATCAAGGCTGTGCAAGGCAATGGCTTCTGCTTTCGCAGCCCACTGGGGGCAGCTTGCGGACGAAGAGGCAATGTGGGCCGAAACGGACGAATGTTACCACAGGTTCTACGCCCCCTTGGACTACTACATTGAGCCAGATCAGATCGGACATGATTGTCACAGGGCATGGGGCAACCATCGGCGCTAGCAGCTGGCACTGCAGCGGCCTATTTGGTGCAGCTAGCCGAGTCAAGCGCTCAGTATTATATACTTCAGCCCCGTAAGGGAACATTGGTCTGCATTGGCGCAGACCACCGGCTTGCTACAGATTTGAGGGCAGCTGGCATTACAATATTGTATACAGAGTACTTCAGATTGGCAGCAGACGGGTCAGCATCAGCGCACCTACTGCATGGCCCAATACCCCGTTGCTAATGGGTTACTGGCATGGCTGCGCCCTGGACAACGATTGCGTGCCAACTCGAGGGGGGGGGACCCGTAGCGCCCATACGGGTGGGCACGATCCCTCAATGGCGACGGAGCGTGCCCCCCCCTCGAGCACTTTATGGACTTATCGACTTTCCTAACATCGACATTGATTTCTATGATTATTTGCCCTGGACAGGCATTACGTCGTGCTGCGTAAGTCCTGAGGAAGCCCCGAATGCGTGGGAAGACCTCAGGCAGCGTCGCCAAGTTTTGCTATTGTTAGAACGCAAGACCTGGGGAAGCCCCGAATGCGAGGGAACACCCCAGGCACAAGTCGCCACGTTTGGATGTGTACCTCGGCGGCTTGGATACCTACAATTTGGATGGCGCCAGCTGGCTGGCAGCGGGCACCAGTGGCCGTCAGCGTACCACCGACCGACATCGACAGCATACCCAGCACGTCCCCCCACAACTCCTGCCAAGTCAACGCTGTCCTGGTGAGGATCAAACTTCGAGACGGGCTCGAAGGGCTGGGGGGGAAGGACGAGTACTTCCCGCGCCCGCCAGCGGGGATGGTGAGGGGCAGGGGGGGGGGGTAGGACGGCCACTACCTGCGCCCCCGCGGTCCGCCCTAGCTCGCCACCCCCACCATTCCCATGGAGAAGGAGGAGCTACCCGATCGTCCGAGGGCGAAGCTGGACAGCCGAGACACCCCACTCCGTCGATAACAAATACCAGGCCTGGGGTTCGCCCCCACCGAGGGCACCGTGACCCCTAGCCATAGCGGGACGAGGTGGGACAGCAACGACCCCCACTTGAAGTCGGTGCATGGAGGCCTTGGCAGCACACAACCAACACAACACCAGCAACGAACCGACCCCCAACGACCGTCCAACTCGCTCCACATCCTGCACTCAGCCCCCATACATCGACATCTACAACATCAGATGATCAGCACCCCCCTGCCCTTCAAAAGCAGGAGGGTCATGACTGACGTCGGCAGCACCGCGGCGCACATGGAGCCCTACATGGTGCAGCTCTGCGACGTCAGGCAGTACTGGAAGCCATGGAGTACTCGACCAGAAGGGGCAGCCTGCCCCGCGGGGAAGGAGACACAGCGCCTGGCGCCGAAGGGTGTCTCCCCACCGCCCTCGCGTGGCAGGCGAGGAGACTGCTGCAGAGCCGCCGAAGTCCAAGAGAGGCTCGGCGGGCCTCCACAGCGCCAAGCGCCGAAGGGTGGAGGCCGCCGCAGAGAAGGCGGCCATCCACCTGATGACGGGGCGGCTGGGCTCAGCGCGAGGCGCCGAAGGGAGCCCAGCCGCCACACAAGAGGCCGACCGCCCACAAAGAGGCCGAAGGCCTGGCTGCGCGCCGAGCTGGCTGAGCTGGCACGGGCGAGCGCGGCGCCCGCTGAGGGCCCAGACGGGCCCTCATCTTTTTAGTTTTGCTGAAACCCGGCCCCCCTTCTCCCTTCCCTATGATTATTTGGTCCCTGGCTCCCTGCTTTCCTCGGGGTCGGGTTCCCGGGGCCGCTGTCTGAGTGCCCGCACGGCTCTGGAGGGCCGCTGCAGAGCGCTCCGCGCCCGCGGGGCGCGCGACAAGACGCTGCATAGCGAGAAACGGAGAAACGGAGGAGCAGGAGCAGGAGCAGGAGTAGGAGTAGAGGTAGGACTAGTAGTAGTGGTAGTAGTAGTCGTAGTGGTAGTAGTAGTCGTAGTAGTAGTAGTAGTAGTAGTAGTAGTAGTAGTAGTAGTAGTAGTAGTAGTAGTAGTAGTAGTAGTCGTAGTAGTAGTAGTAGTAGTAGTAGTAGTAGTAGTAGTAGTAGTAGTAGTAGTAGTAGTAGTAGTAGTAGTAGTAGTAGTAGTAGTAGTAGTAGTAGTAGTAGTAGCAGCAGCAGCAGCAGCAGCAGTAGTAGTAGTAGTAGTAGTAGTAGTTTCAGTAGTAGGAGTAGTAGAAGCAGTGATAATAGTAGTAGCAGTAGTAGTAGTAGTAGTAATAGTAGTAGTAGTAGTAGGAGTAGTAGAAGCAGTGATAATAGTAGTAGCAGTCGTCATCGTCGTCGTAGTAGTAATAGTCGTCGTCGTCGTAGTCGTAGAGTAGGAGTAGGGATCGGAGTAGTAGGAGTAGCAGGAATAGTAGGAGCAGCCGGAGCAGTAGTAGTAGTAGGAGTAGTAGGAGTAGTGAGAGTAGTAGTAGTAGTAGTCGTCGTCGTAGTAGTAGTAGTAGTAGTAGTAGTAGTAGCAGTAGTAGTAGTAGTAGTGGTGGTAGGAGTAGTAGTAGTAGTAGTAGTAGTAGTAGTAGTAGTAGTCGTGGTGGTAGTAGTAGTAGTAGTAGTAGTCGTAGTCGTAGTAGTGGTAGTAGTAGTCGTAGTAGTAGTAGTAGTAGTAGTAGTAGTAGTAGTAGTCGTAGTAGAGGTTGCACGAGTAGTAGTAGTAGTAGTAGTAGTAGTAGTAATAATAGTAGTAGTAGCAGTAGTAGTAGTGGTAGTAGTACTGGTAGTAGTAGTAGTAGTAGTAGTAGTAGTAGTAGTAGTAGTAGTCGTAATAGCAGTCGTAGTAGTAGTCGTAGTAGTAGTAGTAGCAGCAGTAGTATTCGTAGTAGTAGTAGTAATCATAGTTGCTGTTGTTGTTGTTGTTGTAAGAGTAGTAGTAGTAGTAAAAGTAGTAGTAGTAGTAGTAGCAGTAGTAGTAGTAGTAGTAGTAGTAGTAATAGTAGAAGTAGTAGTAGTAGTAGTAGTAGTAGTAGTAGTACTAGTAGTAGTGGTAGTAGTAGTAGTAGTAGTAGTAGTAGTCGTGCTAGTAGTAGTAGTAGTGGTAGTCGTAGTAGTAGTGGTAGTAGTAGTAGTAGTAGTCGTAGCAGTAGTAGTAGTAGCAGCAGTAGTATTCGCAGTATTCGTAGTAGTAGTAGTAGTAGTAGTAGTAGTAGCAGTAGTAGTCGTAGTAGTAGTAGTAGTAGTAGTAGTAGTAGTAGTAGTAGTAGTAGTAGCCGTAGTAGTGGTAGCAGTCGTAGTAGTAGTAGTAGTAGTAGTAGCAGCAGTAGTAGTAGTAGTAGTAGTAGTAGTAGTAGTAGTAGTCGTGGAAGTAGAAGTAGAAGCAGTAGAAGTAGTAGTAGTACTAGTAGTAGTCGTCGTAGTAGTAGTCGTAGTGGTAGTAGTAATGGTGGTGGTAGTAGTAGTAGTAGTAGTCGTCGAAGTAGTGGAAGTAGTAGTCGTAGTAGTCGTAGTAGTAGTTGTGGTAGTAGTAGTAGTTAGTTAGTAGTAGTAGTAGTAGTAGGAGGAGTAGTTAGTAGTAGTAGTAGTAGCCGTCGTAGTAGTAGTAGTAGTAGTAGTTTAGTAGTAGTAGTAGTAGGGTGGTAGGGGTGGTGGTGGTGGTGGTTGGTGGTGGGAGTTTTGTGGTAGTAGTGTGTAGGGTGTCGTGTTGGTAGTCAGGTTAGTAGTAGTAGTATTAGTAAGTAGTAGTAGAGTAAGTCGTATAGTAGTGTAGTGGTGGGCGTAGTAGTAGTAGTAGTGGTGTAGTAGTCGTCGTCGAGTAGTAGTAGTAGTATTAGTAGTAGTGTAGTAGTAGTCGTAGTAGTAGTAGTAGTGTAGTAGTCGTAGTTAGTTAGTGGTAGAGTAGTAGCCAGTCGTGATAGTAGTGGTTAGTATGTAGCAGTTAGTAGTAGTAGTAGTAGAGTAGTAGTGGTAGTAGTAGTAGTAGTAGTAGTAGTAGTAGTAGTAGTACTAGTACTAGTACTAGTAGTAGTAGTGGTAGTCGGAGGAGGAGGCGGAGGAGGAGACACCCCCCGCCCCGCCGCTTCCGGATGCTGGGGCAGTGCGGGGGGCGGGGGGGGCCACACACCAGGGATTCGCAACCCCCTCGAGGAAGCACCGTCGCCTCGAGGAGGTGGGCCCCCAAAGAGGACTCCAGAGAGCCTTCCAGAGCGACTCCTCCTCCTCACGTGGTGCCCCTCCTCCTCCTCCTCCTCCTCCTTCTCCCTCCTCCTCCTTCCTCCTCTCGTGCTCTTGCCTCCCTCATCATCATCCTTTCTCCCCCTCCTCTTCTTCCTCCCTCCTCCTCCTTCTCCTCCTCCTCCTCCTCCTCCTCCGCCTCCGCCTCCCCTCTCCCCCTCCTCCTCCTTCCTCCTCCTCCTCCTTTACCTCCGCCGTCTAGCGACCTCTTCGAGCTTCGATCCTGCAACCCTGACTTCCAGCAAGAGCCGGTGACCCCCCCCCGACACTGCCCGAGATGGCGTCGCGCGCGCCGCAGCAGAGCCGCAGCAGCTGTGGCAGCATCGTCACGGCGTGGGGCATGCGGCCGCCTCCGTCGGCCGACTCCCCGTACGCGAGGTGGGCCATGTATACGGGAACGAAGAATGACATAAACAAAAAAGCTCGAAGGTCCGCGCGGATTCGTCGGATCGGCGCTGGGGCCCCCTGGCGGCGCCTCCAGCGCCGCCCCCGGCGCGCTCCGCGCGCCAGGGAGGGGGTCCAGCGTCGATCCGAGAGATCCACGCGGACCTCCGAGTTGTTATGTTTATGTCGACCTTCGTTCCCCTAATGTAGCTGCACATCCAGGCCCAGACGCACTGCGGGCGGGAGGAGAGCGGCGCCAGGATGGCCATCTCCTCCTGCGGCAGGGCTGGGAGAGGACGGGGAGCGGGAGCTGGAGGAGGGAGGAGGGAGGATGGGGGAAGACGGGGGAAGATGGGGGAGGAGGCGGAGGAGGAGGACGAGGAAGAGGAGGAGGGGGAGGGAGCGATAGAGGAGGGGGAGAGGAGAAGCAGGAGGGGGGGAGGAGAAGGAGGAGGAGGAGGAGGACGGGAAGGGGGACGAATCAGAGGGGTGAGGAGAAGGGAGCGGGATGAGGGGAGAATGGGGAATGATACGAGGAGGAGGGGGAGGAAGAGGAGGAGGAGGAGGAGGAGGAGAAGGAGGAGGAGGAGGAGGAGGAGGGGGGGATGGATAAGCTTAGGGGGAAGAAGGAGGGAAGGAAAAGGCGAAGAACGAAATTGAGGCGTAGAGGGGGAAATGCCTGTCGAAGTGGGCAGCTGCAGACACACGTTTCCTGAGAGATTGGCGCACAGGTTTGGGATGGAGCGGAATGATGAAGGGTGAGGAAGAAAAGAGGACCAGGAGGAAGGCAACGAGCAGGCGGAGGAGGAGACAAGGGA